GGCACTATATTAGGCTCTGAGTTTACTCTCTCTTTTGTTACCTATGGCTTGTGAAGAGGAGTCAATTATCAAAGTATTCCAAGTCATTTGTATTGTGCTCTTAGTCTCCAAATAGGATATATAGGTATCTCAGTCTTTAGGGAATGTCCTACCAATCCCAAGGGTCCCTAGAGTCCTGTTACTACATTAGGTGGGGTGAGAGGAACATCAGGTATCAGTGAGCCTAAGAGAGAATACTTCAGAGGTTGCTTCATCTGTAGCTAGTGGGGAGTTATTAATATGTTATTCAGAGATCTTTTGTCACTCTTGCGGAGAAGCTCCTGGTTGGGGGAAACAATTGATGCAAATGCTAAGGACTATGGTCTACATTTTCTTTCCTGAATGACAGGCCTGTAAACTGGCAATAATCTGGGTGTCAAGGCCAGGCCCTTGTATTATGAACTTATCAGATGATCAAAACCAGCCAGCTGTATGTAGACATCACTTTGACCCCTTTTGCTTAATTCCAAGGTCCCCCATATACAAGCAAGTCATACAGGAAAGTGAAATTTCTCCTTTCTTCCAATCTTCCAGGGATGAGTCTCTTTTGGTGGGCTGGGGCGGAGGCAATGGATGAGACTGCCACAAGTCTCAGAGTGGGAAACGTCTTTTCTTATTTTTGCCTCCCCCAAGGGTGGAGTCTGCCCTGTCATGGGGAAGATAACCCACCAACCTGGGGGAATTGGCAATTCCTAGGGATACGTTGCATCTCAGCCTAGGAAGTGATTACTCTTATTCCCCTAATAAGTGATTAGGGGAATAATAATACTAATAAGTGATTACTCTTATTCTCCCCTCCAACGACAGGGTTTATCAAGTTGGTATGTGGCCTAAATCTCAGGGCTATTGGAGGGTCCGAGGCCACTGAAGGTCCCTGATCAGAGAGTGACCAGCCATGCCACTCCACCCCTGAAGGGGTGGGGTCAGTCCCTTCCACATGAAACCCCAGTGGCCTGGTTGCCACCAAGGGCCATCTTCAACCCCAGCAGATCTCAGCCCAGATAGCGAACTCCCTCAACCCTCCACAATTCCCCAGAATGGGGCTTCCCCTTTGTCTGGAAGCACCAGCTATCAGGCCATAGTAAAGAGGTCAACCTGGGACACAGCTTGGTAAGCTATCCTGAAAGCTGCTAGTACTACCTTTCAGCTGCTGACAGGGAGATGGAAGCGAACCAGAGGTAACAGTCTTGCCACATGGGTTTTGGGTTGAACAGCCTCTTTCTCAACTCCGCCCAGGGTGGAGTCAGTCCCTTTGGCGAGAAGCACCCAGGCCCAAGTCTCAGGAGGGTGTGGGTGGTATGTCACCCCAGGTCACATCTGGAAAAACAGCCTCCTTCGGTGCTTCGTTTTGCCAAGATGGACTCTGCTCTCTGGGCACAGAGCACAAGTGGCTCGGTGGGGTGAGAGACTGCCCAAGTCCAATCTGGAGAGACAGCAGTGCATGCAACCACTCTCCCCCTTTCGCCCCTTTAAATGCAGAGTCCGAGCCCAAGCCACCAGAATGGGAAGACCTGGGGTAGGTTTGGAGGAGTAGACAGTTTTTCTCCTTATTTCCCTCTTCCAAAAGCCTGACTCATTCAGCTGGGCTAGGGCAACTGGGAGGTCTGAGACCACTTCCAGAACAGCTATCCAAAGCGTTTGCAAGGTATGGAGTGGGAGGTGCCTGCCCTCCCAGTGTCAGCTAAGAAGGTGCCTGCAGGGCAGAAAGCTCAGCTTGTTTTGGCAGTCTGTCTCCAAGCCGCCCACTGAGCCCACTGTGTCCCCAACTCACTGAGATGCAACAGTTTAGGTGCAGAGATCTGCACTCTCTGTCTATCCAGCACCAGCAAAAGCCTCAGCTATTTCCAAGGGCAGAGCCTCCATTAAGGCATACACCCCCCATCCTGGTCCTGGTCCTGGAAGTGTCCTGAAGTGAGATGCCTCTCTCCGCACTGGCTCCTAAGGTAGGGGGAAGCATCTGCTGAGTTTGGACCCTCCCGCACCCAAAACTGACTTGGCAGAGCTCTCAGAAGAGTTCAAAAATTTCCCTGCTCCAGGCTCTACTCCACATAGCCCTTCTGCCTGCTCTACCACTTCCCACCAACTTCAGGAACTTCCCTGCCTGTGTGGGTGTGGAGTTTGATGGGGGAAGGACCATCTCCCTGTGCAGGGCAGAACCAATGCCTCCGCTGGCCGGGTGAGCCACACTTCCTCCCAGTTGTATATTTCTGACTCTCCAGGTTTTGTGGAAGCTTGTTCCATTCACCTTTGATTTTTGCCACTGTTTTTTTCCTTGTCCCCTGATGCTTCTCTGCAGGTCCACAAAACTGATCCTGTGGAAGTACAGTTCACTCACATGTGGTTATCCGCTCTCTTCACTTCCCACTCTGTGAGCAGAGAGCCAGGAGGTCACCCTAATCCACCATTTTCCCTGTGATATATTAGTTTTAGGGAAATAGCCAAACTCTAGGATGATTTTCATATTTTAAGGTTGTGCAAGGGGTGAATGGCAGTGTTGTCAACCAAAATAGGTAATTCAGAAAATTTATTTTCTAATAGTGGCTGTGTAGATAAGATGATTAATTTGATTTAGGGGAATGTTGAATAGAAAGAGGAATAAATTTTATGACTCCTCATTTCAAGTTTGTTGTCTAATTAAAGTTAAGGTATTGATAGCCATAGAAGATCCCAATAACCCTCTAGACAACAGGAAGAGAAATGTTATAGGCAGTACATGACCAATTGCCAGATGAATTCTATAGATGCATCTTGGTTTTCTGTAGTTACTAACCAAGTATAATTGTTCATTTGGTTTTACTGGTTTTATTCTGGTAGTTTGAGATGGTTTGAGGATGGCATGAGCTTATTAAATAGCACTGTGAGTTATTAATACTTACTTTGGAGTACTCATTTTAATCTTGTGAAGTAGGGACTGTTATTTGTCCCATTTTACAGAAGGGGAATCTGTGGAAACTCAAGGTTAAATAACTTTCCTAGAGTCATATAAATAATAAATGATAAAGTCATATAATAATAAATAATAAAGTGAGTATTCAGAACTAGTGGGTCTGAATCCAAAGACCCATTCTCTCATTTTGTTATCCTATTCTTTTCACTTAATATATCCTCTATTGTTTAAGTTATTTGAAAACTTTATTTATAGTGGTTGAGATATTTATTTAATCATTCTCCTAATGACTATATTTGTAATTATGTCTTCAGGATAAATCCTGCAAGTGGGCTTCCTGTACTAAGAAATAAAAAACATTTAAGGTTCCCTAAATCACATAAACTTCTTTTCCAGGAAAGTTGAAAAATTTTACAATTTGGATGCATTTTTCAATCCCATGCAGAAGTGTTTTTTAACCCTACATGCTTGCTTATACCAAAACAAACAGTAGAACTCAAAAATGCTGGTAAAAGATGGTGGTTAGAATAATAAATCAGAGACTATCAGAGGAGGAAGGAACTCCAGGTACCATCTAGGCCCAACTCCTCCTTTTATTAATTAAGAACTAAGGTTACAGAGCTTAGAGGACATGCGTCAAACTATACCACTAAAGTCAGGACAAGAACCTGAGCTTAGCACTATGTGATATGTTGAGTCTGAATCTCTAGGACACTTTGGATGATTTGAGGATGTCCTGAAATGTCCATCAGGGATCTTGAGTGGCGATTTAAGAGACTTAGTGTTTGGGTCCGCTTCACAGTTTTCCCCTAAGCTTCATAGTGTGTCAGAGGGGTAGGGAAGTAATGCAGAGGGGTCTGTTCTGAACTGAGAGGCCCCGTATTCACCCACAGAGATAAAGATGTCTGCTGGGTCAGGGGCCATTCTGAAATTCCCTCTTATAAGTTTTCTTAGATCTGAGCTGCTGTCAGATCCACAAGGATAATCTGGATTCTCTCTTTATTATTCTATTAATGGTAAGACACCTTGAACAAAGGCCTGCTCATATAATTATAAAGTCACATAATTCAAGATTAATTTTGTATAGCACTGAGCAAAAATAGAGATCAGTTTGATTTAATAGCCAGAGGTGACTCCACCATATGGCAATAGTATAAACAAAATTTGCAATTTGTTTTGGCTTGGTATCTGGCAAGGTAGGGCTAAGCTGTTTTTTCAAAAAACCACAGAGTTTCAATGGGGTAGCGCAATAAATGTTCTTTCTTGCAAAATGAGAAGCAAGCTGGTTGATCATCCTCTGTATTATAGATATGCCATGCCACAATTGCCAAGTTAGGAAGAGAATGAAAAAAGAGTTATGTAGACTCTTAACTGTCACAGCCTGTAAGTGACACATGCCAGTTCTGTTCACAGTCCATTAGCCAGAATTAAAACAGGGTTCCAATCCAACTGGAGGAGAGGCTGGGGAAAGTGGGGAGAGGCTCACAGATATTGGATGAACACTAATGGGTGCCTCCATGCACTTGATGCTTGATACTTTGAAATTATCTACTCTAAAAACTTTGTAGGCCATTCACATCATTTCAACTTTTAAACATAAAGGTAATACTTTCTTATTACTTTCCTTTTAATATGCTGGAAGGGCAGCCGTATGGTGAAGTGCATACTGTCATTTAAAGAAATCCTTTTTACCTCTGTGTTAAAAACAACAGAATTTTGCCAATAGCTATCTGGGCAAGCATTTAACTTTTTAAAAACTGTATCCCTATAGAAAATGGCATAATAATCCCTCATTCATGAGTATGTTGAAAAAATTAGGTTGGAGATTGTATGTAAAACACTCGACATAGGGACCAGTGCACGGTTAAGTGTTTATCAAATGTGAATTTTTATTCTATTTTTAATGGTATTTTTGATATTGTAGTGGGATCCACTATTGTCCACGGGGATACGGGATCCTGAGAATCAGTGATATATTCATAATCATTGGAAGATGGAGTACTTTAGGGGGACAAGTGATGTTTTGTCCAGGTTCCAGAAATAAAATCTTTTCATCATCTATATGTTCTTGTAGGTCATAGTGAATTTCAAAGGTCATGCTCTTCCTGGAACCCTCTTTATTATTTTGAGCCTTTGGTGGAGTACAAGGAGTATTCTGAAATATGTCTGTAAAAAGCAAAAGCAGACATTCTACCTTCGTTCCAAAGCATTATTCCATCGAGTAGAACTTTTGGAAGGAACTATAGTAGTTGGCATGGCTTTAACCGGTGAGTGGACCATTTCTGTGTACTATTTTCTCCTAATGGATATTTTTACATACAAAGAAAATATCCAATATAACATCAAGAAATTGCCAAATAAATTTTTAAATAAAAATCTATTAACACATTCTAATTTTACTTTCTCTCTGACATATTAATAATTTGTTAGGAAGGTGACACCTCATGTTTATAATCAGTGGAACAAAGATCATCAGCACTGAAGATCTGAAATTACTGTTTGACTCATTGGTTATCTTTGACTAAAACTGGTTATTTGAACCAGCATCTGAACTTCTAAAACAACACTAAAGCATCAGTGCTCAGCTGCTGGGGAACAGCCTAGATAGAAGAATTGATGACAATAGATTAAAATGAGCAAAGAGCTGATCTTCCTGCATCTTCTTGCATTCTAGGTAAAGTTATGGAAAGGGTAGCTAAACTGTTAAATGTTTTTCTACAGGCATGATTGCAGAGCAATTTATTCCTAGAGGGCCCCACCTGATCTTATATAAAGAGGGCAAGTGGAACAAACTCCTTAGCTGGCATCATTTCACTATGTATTTCTTCTTTGGGCTGATGGGCGTGGCACACATCCTATGTGTCACCATCCGTTCACTTCCCTCCTCCTTACCCAAGTTAATGTTGTCAAATGCCTTATTTGTGGAAGGTAAGTATAAGTATTTTTCTGTATCTTTCTTTATTAGTGGGCATTTGTGTAGGCCTTTATAATAATATACCTTTGGTGGTACTATAGCCTTGATTGATAGGGCTATTTTTCTGGGCCATAATGGGTTTCCTAAGCAGGATGACAAAGATCGTCCCTCCCTACTGACTCATTTAGTAGAATTGGGCAAGCACAATCATTCAAAGTGGTTTCTTCACACTTCACATCTGTATTAAAGAACCACTTTCAATAGTTCCTTATGTCTATGTTGTCCCTAAGATTAACATTCTTTCCACTTTTAACAAGTGAAAACTGAACACAGTGAAGCATGAATATCCTGAAATGAGGCAACTACTCACAACAGAACAGCTTCCACCATCTACTAACTAGCCCTTTTAATATTGATATGGCAAAACCCTGCCATTATATGATAAGTAGCATCCAAAAAATTCAGCCACCTAAAATTATGAGTTCATAATTTTGAGAGGTTAATTAAAAGAATATTTTTAGTTCAATTCCCAGTTGCTGTGGAGGGAAAAAGGAAACAGGTGTTTAATCACTTATTGTTATTTATTACAGGTATTAGAAATAGATCATGAAATTTCAAAAGACCCAAATTAATCAGAAGGCAGTTCCTCCCTGCTCATGTTGCTTCTGGCATCTGAAATAAAACTGTTGCCCATTTCTCTTTGGGAACAAGGGCTAGATAAAAGATGGGTGTCAAAAACTAAGAGCCTGATTCTTGTTATCTCAGGGTGTTGCTATATTTTGAATGAACATCCTTTTCTGTTTATACCAATGAAAAGGATTAAGATGAAGGTGGCATCTCTCCAGTGGATGCAAAAGGCAGTTAAGTTTCTATTTCTTGGCAGCTTCTCAGAGCATCTTGTCATACCTGTCAGAGTCCGCCCTTATGAACTGTGAGTGGACTGAGTTCCTTAAGGTGAGGCTTTGGCTTATCCATCTGTGTGTCATCTTAATTCTTACTCCCCTGCTTCTTTGTGCTTATTATTCCTCATCTTGCATACAGGATGCTTTGAAATATAGTTAGTTGAAAGTGTCAAAAGGTGTTAGAGGAAGGAATAAAGGTTGGGGAAGAGAAAAAGGGTTATATTTCAACGATTCCACTCCAAAGAGGCATGATGACTTCAAAAATGCTGCAGAGTTGCGGTTCCCTGGGAATCAGTGACACCTCTGCTTTGTCTGTATACAATTCTGTGGAAAGAGGGGGAGAGAGAAATAGTGATGATGGCCTTTGTTTCATTGAAAAAGACAAACTGTGTTTTCTACCCTCTATCAGCTTTTATCTTCCACAACCACACTCATGGCCGGGAAATGGTGGAAATCTTTGTGCACCAGCTGCTGGTTTTGGTCATCTTTTTGACAGGCCTGGTCACCTTCATGGAGTTCCTCCTGCAGAACAATGTACTTCTGGAACTTCTGCGTTCAAGCCTCATCCTGCTTCAGGGGAGCTGGTTCTTTCAGGTGAGTTGGGGCCTCCAGTAAATGCACCTGGTGTCTCTGCCTGTAATTGCTCCTTAGACTTCCCTCCAATATGCTGTGTGTCATGACAATGTGGGACTCTGAGGGGTGCTGTTTCTTAGAGTAGCCCGGTGGCCCTGGTGGGAGCATTGTCAGAGCAGCTGGGAAGGAAGTGGAATGTGCACATCTTCATGTCACACCTGAATACCCATTACGTAGGAACTCTGATCTGATGCTTTTAGTTAGAAGCAGTTCCTCTTGCTAAAGCAGCTTACAACCTAATGGGTAGTAAGTTGGAGAAAAACATGGAAGGTGTGAAAGAGAGCAAATTATTATTTTTTGAGAAACAGCTATATGTCGGCCAGTATACCCAACTTTTACATTCATATGCAAGGGAGATGTAACAGAAGTAGAGGCTGACCTAGGAATTAAGACTAACTCTCTAAAGAATCTAAAATATTATGTTGGTTTATGTGCATCTATTTAGAATAAAGCATTTGAGTACTGCTTTTCATAGTGCTATAAAGTCTCTGGTTGGGGGAAAAGATGATTATAAAGTCTAAGAATAACCTCTTCAAAACTCATAAGGCAGATTACTTGTTTTTTATTTATTTAGTTGTGGTCAGGGAGACTTTCCCAATTTCCCATAGAATGCTCTCTCAATGCTGCTGCAATATCAGGGCATAAAGGGTACAAAGTTCCCCTACACATAAGAACCAGAGTTTCTGATCATAAAAGATGATGCTGGATAATGTCTGAATGAGAACATTTGATGTGGGTGGTTGGATGAAAGATACCAAAATGTTAACTTAGAACTCTTTAATTGTGTGTGTGTTTTAAAAAATATATTCTATATACATAATTGGTTTTCATCTGATTGATCTCTCGCTTTCTAATAAAAGTATTTTAAAGTTTTATATTAGGGATTTATCAACTTTTCTTTCAGGTTTTGCTTTATTGGAAAGCTAAGCTCTCCATCTCTTTTTCTAGTTTTTTGAGTTGGATGCTGATCTCACTTATTTTCAATCTTTCTTGTTTAAAAATAAATACATATTATATGCATATCTCTATACACTGTATTAGCTGCCTCCCATAAGATTTGATATGTAGTAATTTTCACTGTTGGGCAGTTTTGAAAGCACATGCTGCCCTGAAGAGCAGGTTGCTTAACCCTGACGAAGAGGACAAAGAAAGCTTCCAGGAAAAGGTGAAGTCAAGTTGAGATTTGAGAGATGTGTGGGGAGCCTGCAGCCTTTTGACTGAATGCAAATTTTATGGAACAAGTCCTTTTATTAAAAGTGATGCAGCAGAGAAAGATGAAGTTTTCTTGCTTCCTCTGGTGCTTAAAAAGAACAATCTTGAAATCAGAAGGCTGTGGGATGTGCCTAGGCTTGAGGTTTAGGGTGAGTGATATTCTTTTGCGAATTTTGCTCTTGACCATTATATTATTTTCCTGGGCTGCAATAACAAATTTCCATAAGTTGGATGAATTTAACAACATAAATTTATTCTTTTACCCTTCTGAAGGCCAAAAATCCAAAATCAAGGTGATGGCAGGGTTGGCTTCTTCTCAGGGGTACAGAGGGAGAATCTGTCCCACGCCACTCTCCTAGATGGTTGCAGGCAATCCTGGGCATTCCTGCTGCGGCAGCTAAGTCCAGTCTCAGCCTCTGCTGTCACGTGATGTTCTCCCTGTGTGTATTTGTGTTCATTTGTCTTCACATGGCCTTTCTATAAGGACACTACTCTTTGGATTTAAAGCCAGCTCTAATCTAGTCAGACCTCACCTTCACTTGATCACATCTGCAAGGACCCTATTTCCAAAGAAGGTCACATTCAGAGGCACTGAGAATTAGGACTTCAACATGTGGGAGGTCTCAGTTTACCCCTTACAACTGCTAACCCCTACGTCTGGCAGCTGGAGCACATCACTTGCCAAGCAGGTGTGGATAGATAGTGCGGATGGCATTGGAGGAACATGGCAGGACTGATAGATGGGAACGGGGGAGCCGTCCATAATATTTTATACTCACCCCCACCTCGAAGTGCCCTTTCTTTCTTTCTTTTTTTAATCTCCCCCATTCCTTCAACCTTTATTATAAGAATAAAAGAACATGAGACAATTTAGCTTAATTTTAATAAAATGTTTCCCCAAGAATTTTGACCAGGTTCCCAGGTTGAAGTTATGAACATTGACAGTGTCCATTTATATAACCACACTTGAAGTTATTTTAAGTACTTAACCATTTTCTAATATTAGCCTATTTTATACACTGCTTATTCACATATATGCCCATTAACAAATGGAATGTCTGTTACATTTATTGGTTTGTGAGTGTTTCTGGAAAACTGCAGTATGTATGAAGACCAATTTCCATGCTGGCATTGCATGCATCCAAATATTAATAATGCACACAGGCACAGAATTAGAAGCAACAAGAGAGCATATTCAAACACTAGCATGCCCCATTCCCCTTTTTATTGCTTGTTTTGCTTAGTACTTCTTAAAACAAAAGTAAGAAATCTCGAATTCAACGTTCAACTGCCAAAGAAAGAATAACAGCAGGACACATACTTAGGGCTCGAATGAAATTGTAAGCACTAGCTGGCGCAAAACAGTAGACATTAGTTTATATTTATATATATATATATGACTTTATTATCTAAAACTTCTCAACCAGGGCCTTCCAAACAAATTGATAACTCACATCAACATGATTTAGGTTGAAATATACACAAGAAGTAGCAATGTATTCTTTGGGAATTTAGGAACTCCAGATCACCCAAGTTTGAATTCAGGTCTTTATGAAGTAAGAAGCTTGTACTAAGCAACTATGCTACATTTCTGCTGCAGTAAGTTATTTTAAACAATTATACCTAGGACTGTTCTTGGTTTCCTCCAGCAAAATGTATAGGGTACAAACCAGAAAGCATGCCAGCCAGTTAAGGGTTTAAATAATGCATGATTTTTATTCTCTTGCTCTGAAAGTGTGTATAGTGAAAAAAAAATTAAACCAAGGAAAATAAGATATTTATGGGCCTCTTGTGCTTTTAAAAAGGAAAAAAAAAGTACCCACTAATTTCCTCCAATATAGCAGGCTTAGTGGTCCTCTATTTTGAAACATTCTTAAAAACTGTCTTCATAAAGTAGGAGGAAGAGGGAAAACTCCCACTATCCCTTCCCAGAATTTAAATAGTGGGCAGTAGACATTCTTTATACCCAAAAACTATGGCAGCAGTTCAAATGTGACCAAGGTAAATGTAGAATGAAGATGTTCTAAGCACAGCTAGGACTCAGCAAATCTAACACACTAAAATCATATGATTACATTTTGGAAGAAAATGAAAAGAAAAAGAAAAAGAAAAAGCTACAACAGATAAAAGACCTCAGGAATATACATCTAATTGACACTACATTGCATTAATCAATAGCTGCACTTTTTGTAAACTGTGGCTATCACAGTCCTGAACAAGGAGGGTTTCCTGTTTAAGCTGCAGTAACTTTTCTGACTATGGATCATTGTTCCTTCTGTGGCAGATTTTTACAGTTCCTCTAATGCATTTGGGACGACTGTCTCAAAGTAACCTGCAGCTTTCCTGACAACTCCTCACTCTCTCTCCTGCTAAGAACTGTAGCCCTTTTCTGCTGTTTTTAGAACCTTCTGCTACCATATCCACCACTTCCACCACCAGATCCATAACCACCACCATATGGACTGCCCGAGCTTCTTCCACCAAAACTTCCCCCTTTCATGGGTCCATAATTTGATTGCTGTTGTCCACTATAATTTCCAAAATCATTATAGTTCCCACCACCACCATAATTACCTCCAAAATTTCCTCCTTCATCATAACCATCGTATCCTCCTCCACCACTGCCATATCCACCACCTTGGTTTCCATATCCTGGTCCACCACCATAGCCCCTCTACTACTATAACCAGGACCTCCGCCATAGTTGCCACCATCACCTCCAAATCCATTGTATCCACCATCACCTCCTCCATAACTACCTCTGCTTCCACCACCTCCACCACCACAGCCTCTGCTTCCACCACGGCCAAAATTACCTCCACCACCTCCAAAGTTTCCTCCACGACCCATAAAGTTGCCAGATCCACCTCACCAACTTCTTTGCGATTCAGCAGACTGCATCTCTTGTATAGAAAGGGCCTTTTTCACTTCACAATTATGCCCATTAATAGTGTGGTATTTCTGAACAACAAGTTTATCAACAGTATCATGATCATCGAAAGTTACAAAAGCAAATCCTCTCTTTTTTTCCACTCTGCCTGTCTTCCATAACTTCTATGGTTTCAATCTTGCCATACTTTTCAAAGTAGTCTCTCAAATTATATTCTTCTGTATCTTCTTTAATACCACCAACAAAAATTTTCTTCACTGTTAGATGGGCACCAGGCTTTACAGAATCCTCTCTAGAAACAGCTCTCTTTGGTTCCACAACACACCCATCAACCTTGTGTGGTTGAGCACACATTGCTGCATCCACCTCTTCAACACAAGAGTAAGTCACAAAACCAAAGCCCCTAGAACGTTTTGTTTGGGGGTCTCTCATTACCACACAATCTGTGAGTGTGTCCCATTTCTCAAAATGTTCTCTTAAGCTATCATCTGTAGTTTTAAAGCTCAGACCACCAATAAACAGTTTTCTCAACTGCTCTGGTTCCTTTGGATCATGGCCGTCCCCCCCCCCACCTCCCGGCGACGGCCAGAGTTGGGCTGGGGGTGACCGGACGGCGGTTTTACCTCCATTTTGAGACCGGACTCGCCTCTTCCAACTCGAGTTCAATATGGGACCGAAGTGCCCTTTCTTGACACAGAAATTCTCTGTCAACTTCCATGAATTAGCCATGAGAGGAGGATGTGAGAAGGACTATCTTGTGTCCTGACGCTGCAGCTGAAACAGCTAAGCCCTTGAAACTGGAGTTGACTATGTGACTTGAATTTCATTCTTGTCATTCCAAAGAGTGAGCACAGAGGACTCAGAAATTTTTACTTCCTTCTGGGGCTTCAGAGACCTGGGCTCTGACCAGCTGGCCTCCACAGTGAGCTTTCCTAGCAGTATACAAAGGCTTATTGCAAGACACTCACATATCCAAAGCATCAGGGAAACCAGCTGGGTGACATTCTCGGCCTGCAGTTTCTGAGCAGACTCTTTAACTTAATGACAGATGTGTCTTCTGCCAGAGGTGTTGACAGGTCATCCCTTTAGAATGTAGCTGTGTTCTAAGACAGAGGCCCCAGCCCTTGGTGGGTGATGCACAGCAGCAGTGATACAGACATCTTTGTAACTGTTTGGGGATGGAGAGGCCAGGGCCATGCATGATTTAATTTTCCTATCTCTAATATATACAACAAATACATTTTGTCTTTTGGGATGTAGAGAAGGGCAGGAAGAATTTGTTATAAAGTACCCCATATTCATTTCAACTAATATGATATTTTAAGAACAATTATGATTTTGACATTGGTTGATGAATAAAATGCACAGGGCCAGCACAAAAGTAGAAAACCTGGTCTACATTGCTCCACTTGTCCTTTGAAGCACCAATGGTTTTAATTTTGGTGAAGTCCCATTTATCTGTTTTTATTTTGGTTGATTGTGCTTTTGGTGTTATAGCTATGAAACCATCACCAAATCCCAGGTCATGAAGCTTTTTCCCTATGTTTTCTTCTAGGAATTATATGATTTTAGCTTTCATATTTAGGTCTATAATCCATTTTGAGTTAATTTCATATAGAACATGAGGTAGGGGTCCAAATTCATTTTTTTCACATGTGAGTATCCAGTTTTCCCAGGACCTTTTGTTTATTTTTTTAAACAATTTTTTGTTTTATTTTTAAATTTTTTTTAACATTTATTTTTTCATTTCTTTTAACATGATGACCAAAGACACAGTCAATACTCAGTAAACACATATCTATGAAACTGTTTGTTGGAGCACTATTTGTTGGAGAGACTACTCTTTCTCCTATTGAATGGCTTTGGCACCCTTGTCAAAAACCAGTTGACCATAGATATATGGGTTTATATTTGAACTCTCAGTGTTATTTCATTGATCTATATGTTTGTCATTATGCCAATATCACACTGATGTGATTACTATAGTTTTGTATTAAGTATTGCAATCAGGAGGTCTGAGTCCTTTAACTTAGTTTTTCTTTTTCAAGTTTATTTTGGTTATGCTGTATCCCTTGCAATTTCATGTGAATTTTATAATCAGCTTTTTCCATTTCTGCAAAAAAGGCCATTGGGATTTTGATAGGGATTGCATTGAATCTCTAGATTCTCTTGAGTGCTATTGCCATCACAACAATATTAAGACTTCCAGCCAATGAAAATGAGATCACTTTCTATTTATTGAGGTTTTCATCAATATCTTTCAACAATGTTGTGCAGATTTTGGTGTAAAAGTCTCCAACCTTCTTGATTAAATTTATTTCTAAATATTTTATTCTTTTTAATGCTATTGTAAGTGGAATTGTTTTCTTAATATTGGGTTTGTGGGGGGGGGCTTGGTTTTTCATTGCTTGAGCAAAGAAATACAACTGATTTTTGATTGTTATTTTTTTATCCTTCAACTTTTCTGAAATCATTTATTACCTACAGGTAATAGTTTTTTGGTGGATTCTTTAGGAATTTCTATATATTAGATCAGGTCATCTGTGAATATAGGTAGTTTTACTTCTTTCTTTTCAATATGGTTGCCTTTTATTTATTTTTTAGCTTAATTGCTATAGCTAAAATTTCCAAGATAATGTTGAATAGATGTGGTGAAAGCAGACAGACATGTCTTGTTCTTTATCTTAGAGGGGAAAGCTTTCAGTCTTTCACTATTGAACATAATGTTAATTGTGGACATTTATTTATTTTAAAACCTTTTTGTCCTCTAAATTTGAAATAACAGAGTGAAACTACACATGTAGACACCTACAACATTCTCTGAAAGTCCATCCAATCTTAGAGATGATCACTGTTTATATTTTGCAAATTTATTGTTACATATCCTTTAAAATTTTTTTCAAAAATATGATGTAGTACATGCTGTCTTTATTAATAAAACAGGTAGCAAAACCGGATGCTTTCTCTGTAACATCTTGGATAATGAGAGTTATCTTAGTTATTATTCATCTTGGGATGAAGCATTTTGAAAGATGCCATTTTTGAGAATGTGATTGGTTATTTTAATATGTGCTTTTTGTTTTAAATTATAGATTGATTCTGTCCTGTATTCGCCCAGTGGGGCTCCTACATGGAATCTGAAGGATCATGAGAACATTATGTTTCTCACCATATGCTTTTGCTGGCATTATGCAGTAAGCTTTGTCATCATTGGAGTGAATTACGCTTTTGTCACCTGGTAAGTTAGTGATTTCTGTTCATGGACATTCTGTTTCTTGGTATATGATCATCAAGACTCAATAACATTGAATTTAAAATTCAAGTGTGGATTTCATTCCTCACCATCCCACAAGACAGGGTAGCATAACAGAAAATTATCTGTAAACACAGAAGTTTACAGTAAAAATATAAATGCATTTATAATGTTAGAATACCTCAACAGTAACTATGCTGTTCTTTTGGCCCATGCATTACTTATCAATGCACTCTTCTATGTCTCTCTCTCTTTGTATATGCTACTTGCTCTTCTGAATGGTCTCCCCATCCACTGCCTACAGTGAGGCCTCCAGTTACCCAGTACACCCTGCAATTATAGCACTTCTTAAACTTGGAGTCATTTTTTGACCAACATGCACATGTCTCACTGAATTTGAGTGCCTGATTAAGTTGGCATTGACTCTAATATGTTTAAAATAACATTCAGTTGAATAATACATTTTTTTACAAGGACCCCAATATAATGATTCATGAGTGGGTCAGGAGCAGTATAATAGATAGATAAGAACACATATTCCTAGCTCCACTATCTTTCAGCTGAATGACTTTGGATCATTTACTTAACCACATTAAATTTCAGTTTTGTTTTTGACTAATGGAGATAATAAATAGTACGTAAAGAAGATCATGTACTTATACTGCTTAGGATATAATGAGAGCTCAATAAATGGTATTGTCTTCTTATGGTTCTTGTTGCTCTTGTTCTTGTTCTTATTGGCCTACTCATCCTCTTCCTTTTCCTTCCTTTTTGGTATCAAGAAATGAATGAAATATAGACCCTGACCATGAGGATTTTTAATACTATAGTTAGGACTAAATTAGAAAGAGATAATCAAAATATAGTGCAATAACTGGAAATGGTAGGAGAATAAAGGCACTATTGGAGCTCAGGGGAGGTCTCCTCACAACTGAAAATGAAGCTGCAGTTTGAAGAATGAGCAGGAATAGAAAGGGGTGGTCACAGTTCCTCTTTCTAAAGGGGTTACTGCTAAACCATAGTGGGCCTGTCTGATCCAAATTACTAGGCAGAAAGGCTCTAGCGCCTAATCCTTTAGACTTCAGCGCTGATCAGTATGTTCTATGCCTGCATGTACTGTATTGACAGTGTTCAATATGGTAGCCACTAGCTATTGAGCAGTTAAAATGTGGCTAGTGTCACATTCATTTTAATTAATTTAAATATCCATATGTGAATACTGGCTACTATATTGGATACTACCCACCGTTAGGTTCTTTAGATTCCTGAAATGCAGTGGCTGCTTCAAGGCCCAGTGGCGTCTCAGCCTCTGTGGGCGCCAACTTTCCACTCTTCTCTCCAGACATGGGCCCCAGGTCAGCCCTCCGGCCTGTGCTCCTTTGTGCTTACCTGCTAAGGCAGCTCTGGTGCTGAGGCTCTGAGTGAAGAAACTGCTTCCTTGTCTCTTCCTTGTTTGGCTATGGGTCAGCCCACTTTGATTTGTAGTTTTCTTCTAGAGGTCCAAGTGCTTTGGGTGCTAGGAAATTCTTCCTTCTCACTGACTGATTTCTATGAATCCTGTTCCATTCCCTGAAAGCATGTGCATGAGCTCATTTACAAGGTTGGCTCTGCCATTGTGTGAAACTTGGCTTCTTCCCTGTTGTGCTAGGTTAACATCTCAGCGCCATCTACTTAGGGGCTGGGCAGCCTCCAAGAACAGTGCCAGCATTCAAGGAAATGCAATACTTAATGTCAGAAGTAGACGTGAAGTAGCCCCTCCGGGGCCCAAATAAGACTACTGTCCTTTCCTGTTTCAAAAACATTCTGACTACTAATGAACCTCCTATCCACTTATAGTTCTCTAAAGACTGGAAGCTCCGTTTCTTATTTTTCATCCTCCCTACCCCCATGTGTTACACTAATCTTTTGACCACACAGTTCCCTCTACATGACATATCCACACTAAATGCACATTTAAATGAAACCTTACGTGATTCTTGGAGCCCTTGCTCATCTCCCTTCAAGACATTTTATAGCACTTGGTCTCCACCATACATTTTAACAATTGTGATATCTTTCATGATATTTACTATTAGTTCATGTGTCTTAGTTTATCTGCTGGCTAGATTGTGTCTTTTTGAGTATGTCCCACACCTTTGGAACATTGCCAAACATATAGTAGGTTCTCAATAAACCTTTGTTTGCTGTTTTCGTAGTCCCATGTAGCCTACATAAATATAGGCTTCAGTTGTTAGGATATCATGTTTTACATGCTTTTCCATTTTGCTCTCATATTGTTTTTGGAAAGATAAGACCAAGAGTTAAATTTTTTGGACATATTTTAATACAAACTAAGCAAAAGCCCAAAAATATCATGCAGATTCAGCATTTAATTTTGATGAGGTCACATGGCAGACTGATCCAGTCCTGTAATCAATCATAAGGAGCCTTGAAAAGTCTGTTGGTCAGGATTTCACTGCAGAGTGGTTTGCAACTTATCCACAAGTGATGTATTGTCAGAACATTGTATCAGAATTTATTTGACATAGCACAGAGATCACCCTGGAAGCACAACTGGGTTAAGGAACTCTGAAAAATGAAGCTGTACTTCCTAGCCATCCAGAATAATGGTTTAGGATTGCCTCATCCAATTCCAGGCCTGTAGCCTTGATTTTGATAGCTCATAGTTGAGAACTGTTTGCATATTTTACTATATCTCTCATGTAAACCCCATTGTTGCACGTTGCACAGATTTATTTCAGAAACATCTCTCTACAAGTAGGGAAATACTACCCAATTGCAGCTTGGTTTTCCAAGCAGTAATTCATGTGAATAATTTTGAAGAATAAAATAGGGATGTCCAAATTTTAGGCATGTCATGGTTTCGTGGAAGTATACCTATGATCTCACTTATGCACTTTCTCATACTAATTGAGGAGAACATATGAGGTAGTAAAAGCATAGGCATACTCTGACACTAGTTTCCTGGATTTGTCCCACTCCAGTACCTGGTAATTATTTGTACATACTCTTTATTATCCCATTGGTCAATCTGCCCCATGTGGCCATTTCTGCATATAGCTACAGGTGGCGGATAGAGCCTGGGTAAGGTGTCTGAACATATCCCAGGATGGTGGCTTGTAGCAACACCAAAAACAAACCACAGAGGAGAAATGAGGGACAGGAAGAGTCACTAGGGTCTATGTTAACAATTAATTTGTAAATAGCAGCCATATCTTTGTTTTACATAAGAGTCATCAGGAATGAAACTAATAAATCAAATACTTAATCCATTTATTTGAGCATATATTAAAGTTGTACAATGTGGAAATAATGTGTGGTTTATGAAAATGACGCAAACACTGTCCTGCCTTTAACTTGCTTGAGAGTATTAGCCTTTCAGGAGAACAGTAACTGGCAGGGCTGAGGACATTGGGAACCATATTGACCAATAGTCAACTAAAATAATCAAGGTAAATGGTTTCCAGTAGTTTTCCTTGACTCTTGAATCAACAGATGCTACTGATACTGCTCAGTTGTTTTGTTGTTTATTGGAGAATTTAATGCTGAGTTGGAAGTGACTGAACAATTAGCCTCTATGAATAGGTGAGTGATAGGAATTCTTGGCAGATTGCTCCAAAGGTTATTTATTTATCAAATTTGTATTAAGCTACTAATATTTCCAGACATTGTTCCAGACTCTGGTGGGGGTCACGGCAGTAAATAAGATGAAATCCCTTTATAAAGGGATTATAAAGCTTATAAAGCTTATAATCAGGGGTCCTCAAACTGCAGCCCATCGCCAGTTGCTGCCCACTGAGGACATTTATCTGGCCCTCTGGGTGTTTTTGCCACTGCTGCCTGTCCTGCTTAGCAGCTGACTAATCCTGAGCCCACAGTGCGTACTCTCCAACGGTCTGAGGGACAGTGAACTGGCCCCCTGTTTAAAAACTTTGAGGACCCCTGGTATTCTAGCAAGAGCCAGAGCACAAGTAAAGGCATTACATATGATTGTGACAGACTAGCCTTCATCAGAAGAAGGATTTTAGAAAATAAGGTTAAAGATGCAGGTGGATGGTGAAGTTTTCATAAAAGGAGTGTGATATTGGTGATTTGGTTTATCAAGTTTGTTTGAAGATTTCTATGTATTTCTAGAAGTTAACTAAGTTTTCTTGACATGATCACAGTGTAATGTGTTTATAATAATTGTGCATAAGAAAATCTTTGCCTCGATCTTATGAAACACTCTTTTTCTCATATTAGAGAAGCAGAGCACTTGCTGAACTTCTGCTACTAAGAAGCTTCACACCTTCCAATTTAAAAATTATAATTGTTGCTTCCCTCCAACCTACACATTCTTTGAAGCTATGAAAACAGTCACAAGGCTGGAGTTCACCTCTTTCAACTTTTAATTTATCGTAGACACAGCCACTAACATGCAGCGGAACATCCTGTGCTCTGTACAAAAGCACCCACTGAAGAGGCTAGTAGGGGGCTGAAGTTTAGCCCAGACTCGACATGGGGCTAGACTTGGGCTGCCAACCCTAGGGAAGGAGAGGACTTCACACACTTCCTTTACAGGAAAGGGCACCTTTTTGTAATACACAGCCAGGTGTGGCTTTGATGGAGAAGATCAACTGAGCTTGGTTTCATCTAGAGTTGATTTTGTTTTAGAAATGATTAAAGTTATCTTCTGATGTCTAATTAAACAATTATGCAATGTATGCAAAAACCACCATGTATCTATTTACTGATACCCTGCTTTCATCCAGAAAAATTTCAGTTGGCTCCAAAGCCAAATAAAAGTGATTTTCCTTTTTGAGTTCCTCTCCTCATTTGCTCAAAACATCTGAATAATTAGGAGGTTGTTGTATTACAGATGCATATTGCTCTGAGTTTCTATATTAAACACCAGCTAACTAGAGATGCTTTTCCTTCTCCTCAGGTTGGTTAAGTCTAAACTAAAGAGTTTCTGCCCCTCAGAAGTGGGACTCCTAAAAAGTGTTGAACAAGAATCAGAAGAAGAGATGTGATTTGGATGAGCATCCAGTCTTCCTAGATAAACCTTTTCTTTTTTGTACTGTTGTTCATGGTTTTGTTTCTTCATCTTTTGTTTGGAGAACTGGCTAAGGGTAACTCTCAGTGTAGGGTTTGTATTTCCAATTTTATTGAAGTATTTGAATTTAAATGTTTTATTTTTAGCTCTGAAAATACGTTGGGTGATAAGTTCATTTTGCACATCATATATAACATATTATTCAGGGGATAGAGGGATTTTTTCCAGGTCATCTATAGTTTGATGCCCACACTATAAAAAAATATTTGTTTTACTTGCCCTATAGATACCCTCAATGTTCCTGGGCTTGGTGCCATCCGTAACATGTTGAACATGGAGTTACACTTGTTTGTCTTGTTGCTAGAATGAGAAATAAATGAATACATGCTCCTTGGTGCAGATGTCTCAAATCTTTGTTTTTGTTATTTAACTACACTCTACCCCTTACATCATGCAGAAGAACCTGGAGGACACAGAAAATCCTTTTTGTCAGAGTGTTCTCTCTGTAGCACCTGAATTCTCCCTGGGAAAAGTAGGCCAGGGGAATCCTCCTAAGGTGTGTGATCTTTCAGAGAAGATAAAAGGATGATCCCCAGGACATGTGGTTGCAAACCCATTTGAGACCTGGAAAGAAGAGTTGTAGTGTTACCTACAAAAGTAAAAAGTCACCACAACATAATATGGCCACCACGCCATTCACTCTGTTACAACAGGCCAAGGCTTAAAATGAGGAAAAGCCTTTTATGGAATACCTGGATAAGAAGTCAGGACCCTTACCTAGTCTGTGGGCTAGGCAGCCCCTCATGGAGAGTTAAAAATTCTTCCTTCTAATTCTGGGTCTACCATTAACCAGCCTTAGGTCTACAATAATCACCAGGCCCTTCTCTCTAAAGTAAAGGAATTGAACAGAATGAATCATAGGTCCCTTTTGGCTATCACATTTTATGAATCTAGAAATGGAAGCATGTGGACAGCTAATGTAGTGCAATGCTAGTCAGAAAGGCCAGCCTCTGCTGTGACAGAAAAGGAAGGGGGACTGCAGGAATCCTTGAGGGATGGCCCAGATATGGAGGAAAGGAGACAGCCTCATGGGCAGCTGGCACTGAGACATGGACAACTGAATCCTGGAGGCTCCCTGGCATTCCAGAAGCACTGACCGGTCCAGAAGACTGCCCAGCCTGATGCATGTCACAGTGACACTGAAGAGGCAGGTAAGGGGATTCTTGAGGCTCCAGAACTAGACACACTGATCTTGCTCCATAAATATGAAAAGAGCAGATGGGGGTGCCTAAAGGTTTATGTTGAATGATGCAATTAACTTTAGAACATTCCTAGCATATGAAAATGCCCACATGCCACAGTCCACAGGGCATCATGGCATTCTGCCTCATGTATGTCCTATTTCTCAGGGCTCTTTTGTATAGCTGCAAGATTCTATGACTTTGGCAAGTTTGGTTTTCAAAGGTGTGAGCAGCTGGTCAGCTGTAGTTCCTTGAAACTGGCATTACTGGTATGTAGGCCTGAGCAGGGACTCCTAGCATTAGATAATTAGCATGAACCAGATTAAGTTTGGAATTTTGAAAACTGATAAGTACAAATATTCTACACTGTTTATGAGAGAGAAGAAGTGTCCACTCTTCTAGTCTCTGCTTATACAAGTGAGATGCAACCTGGTGAGTTCTCAGAGGAGGACCATTTGTTTCAGGTCTAAGTCCACAGTCTGGGGCTAACTGCCTCTAGTTCCTGAAATGAGGAATAAATTTGAACATCGTTACTATAACTTTATAGTTATATTATTGGATTTATGTTTGATGACTATCATTTTTATGGAAGGACATGAAAATCAGCAAATTGTGAGTTTGAGCCAAAATTGGAGAGTCTTGTGTTTTGTCTACATTATGCTTGGAAGTCTTAAAGGCATTAAGTTGAATTTCTAAGTATTTCAGTTTATAAAGAACTATATTTCAGTAAATTTTCTGAAACCATGAAATATATTTTATAAGAAAAATATTAAAAGTTTTCAAGTGTAGAACATGAGATGAGAAAAATCAGTTCCAGGCTATGCTTACCAATCTAGTGAAACCAATGGAATATTTCATTTAATGAATGTTGATTCATAAGTTACCGTGTGCCAAGCAGCGTGCAATAAACTGAGAACACAGTGTTACCCAAGCCAAAGTTTGTCCTAATCAAATTTACATTCCCACAGGACAAACACAGTATCAAGTCCAATAAGTAAGTTCTATAATTTGAGGCAGTAATAGGTGATATGAAGAAAAACAAAGCTGGGAAGGAGAATAAAGAACAGTGGGGTAGGGTAGGGCCACTTTTCCTAAGGTGATTCTTTCCTGGAGGTGCTTCTCTGACCACCTTGGGAAACAGTCCCACTGCCCGTCCCTTTCTCTCAGTATTTGAAATTACAGTGTTTACATGTTTCCACAGCCTTTTTAGCATTGAAGGGGAAATCTTTTTAAAAGAAGGAGTGAGGATGGGAGGTTACTCCCTTATCCCTTACATATTATATATACAATATTTATATATAATATATATTTATAATACTATATTATACAGTTCAATATATTCAATAAATATATCTATATATCAATATAGAAATAAATGTAGATACAAAAAGATGTATACATAAACTCACAAATGTGTATCTGTGCATGTTTATGATATATATCACACATTTATATATATATATATATATATATTCTCTAACTCTGGCCCATTACCAGGTCTGAATGTAGGGACACCCTGTTAACAATGAGCACACTATACTCTGGTTTCTCCTCAGGCCATATAAATCTTTTGCCTTCACCAAGGAGCACACATAAAGCCTAGATCTTGATTTATAAATACAATTTTCCACTAAAAGGATGCAAATCCTTGGAAAAATGGCTAATTCTAGGACAGCAAGAAAGTCCAGGGTGAGCCAGGAATATCTCGTGCAGAAGGCAAGATATGACAGGTACATATCAAATGGATACAGAATCCAGCTGGAATAGACTCCCTGTTACCAGATGAGGGACAATTTGAGCATCAAAATGATGTTTATAAATAAGCATTATTTTAATAATAATGGTTATAATTCATAACATTAATGTATTGAATAATTTAGTACATAAAATATTATAAATAACAAATAATATGTATAACAGATTACAATCCATTAAATAAAGTAGGAAAGCCACTGAATCTGAAATCCTTGAGGTAGTGCCTAGCAATCTGCATTTTAACAACTCTTCCAGGTGATTTGATGCTCACTGAAGTTTGGTAACCACTATTCTGAGGTAATTCTCCCCCCAAAATCCAGTTTACAGAAAAGTAGCAAATGCAAGAGATTAAGTGGCATTTTGTTTACTAGGACATTCCTTTGTTAATTTATGAGAATTGTCATGGCTTTAAAGATTGCCCGATTATCAGATAAGCCTGCTAAAATTCATCAGGGCCTGTATTTCTGTCATCTGTGAAACCATTCTTCTGTTTCATTTCATTTTGTTTTATTTTGTTTTTGAGGCAGAGTCTCACTCTGTTGCCCAGACTACAATGCAGGGGTATCATCATAGCTTATAGCAACCTTACATTCTTGGGCTCCAGGAATCTTCCTGCCTCAGCCTCTCAAGCAGTTGGGACTATGGGTGTGTGCCACCAGGCCCAGTATGTTTTGTAGAGATGGGGTCTCACTCTTGCTTAGGCTGGTCTCAAACTTCAAGCTATCCTTCTGCCTTGGCCTCCCAAAGTGCTAGGATTATAGGTGTGAGCCACCACACCCACCTATTCATTATCTTTTGGTAGCTTTTTAATGAGCTTATCTCAGGAAGTGTCAAGAAATTCTGAATGCTCTTTATTTCCTGACCATCTGCATTGTGACCCCAAGAAAGAGTTAACAACATAAAAACCTGCTTGCTGTACATGCCACAGCATTAAAGAAGAAGGGTAGTCGTAACTTACCCACCAATGACACCTGACAGCTGAGCCTCTATGTTTCTCCTTTGGGAGACTGTCAGTGGTATTTGCTGCCCCTTCCCTGATAAAGATGCTAAGCTACTGTTGACAGAAAAATCCTTAAATTCACCTGCTTGTATATCCATACAACTCAGCACATCTGTTTCTACTTGGTAGTTAAAGAAGGGCAGGGAGAAAGGGTTCAAAAAGACTTTTTCAGGCTTAAAGGAAATCAGCTTGCTTTGTATCTTCTCACTTTGTTCAGTAGCCCTTGGTTCTGCAAGTGCCTCCTGGTCTCCCAGAGCCAGGTGTTCCAGACAGGATCTCAAGGTCTGAGTGCTTCATGGAAGGAAAACCAGCATCATTTTATGGAAAGTAACTTATTTGCCACTAGGAAAAGGTTGTCTATGAACTGAAATATGTGGCCATGGAAGACACTGGATTCTGATTCATGTAACCCTGAATCAACCTCTCTGTGCTCCAGAAGATGAAGAAAGGAACCCACAAATTGTTTCATTTTAAATTTCCTTCTGCATTTTTCCCAGAGAAACTCTATCCCCTCTCTCTCTTCTGACTTGATTCTTTCATCTTTCTTTTCCCCTGTTTTCTCCTCATTTATTTCTTCTCTTCTGCATACCCAAAGTCTGAGCTGGCTGGGACAGGTGTATAGTCAAGAGTGAAAGAGCAGAGAAACGGTCAGCCATGGTTATGTTGAGGGGCATAGTGTCAAATGGTTTGAGTTCCTTCTTTTCCTTCTAGAGAGCCCAAAACAGGTGAAGGCAAAGCCAAAATTTATAGTAACTAATAAAGAGCATCAGCTGAGAAATACTCCCCTGCAAACACCAATCCTAAGTTTGATCCCAAGCAAGACGAGTCGACATTTTCAATATGCCATGTACTTAGGACTATCATTTCTACTTTGACAAAATAATATTGTAGATTATAAATCTTTACATTCATCACAGCATAATTATTTTAATGAAATCCTTGGTGTGTGTCAGTTATCTATTCCTGCATAACAGATTACCCCAAAACTTAGTGACTTAAAAGACAACCACTGTTAATATGCTCCTAATCATGC